GGTGTGGGGGGGGGGGGGGGAGGTCCCACTATGACTCAAGAACAAGCAGATTATGTGGATCTGGATTCTGGATGGGGCCGACAAAGAAAAGACCTAGTAAGCCAACTCAGTTATGAAGTTTGCATGAGAAGTTCCCTTTCTTCCCACAGGCTCACAGAGGCTGCATATAGTTTTTTAAAAATGTGCACAAACACAACTTTATGCCAAGCTCTTGCATATGCCTGGAACCTCCCTCAACTCCCGTCTTCGTGGAGAGAATGATGAAGGAACGGTAGTTTAATTCTGGTTATCCTTGATGAATAGACACAGGTTAACTAAAGTTAGCTTCTCCCCCTACTCCAGACCAAACCAGGATTCCTAAAGCCGGCTTTAATCCCAGTTTAGGATACCGCTTTGCAGACGGAAAAATGAACTCTGGGGAAGACACACACACCTGTGTTCTTAGGTCACGGGTGACCAGACTTGATGTACAAGCAATCTTGCTTCTGATGGAAGGGAGAGAAGACAGGGGGACGTAAAAGCCTGTGACAAGCAGGGATCGTGCATGCGATTACTGAATGGTGCTCAGCTCAAGCTGTCCAAAGCACCAAGCTGTGTGCAAGCAGAAATGCAAACCAACGGGGTAAATGTATAATAATAATAATTTTTAAAAATGATTTTAAAATTGGGGGGGGGATATTTCCTAGGGTTTAAAATAATTTTTTCCAAGACAAAGAAGACACCATTTTCAATCTGGTCCTTACAAGCTAAAGTCGCATCATCTGTTGCAGCTCAGCTTGGATAATCAGATGCAACTGCCTCTTTGCGATCGCCGTGTTCAGGTCCCAGAGGAACTCCAGCAGCGGCCCTTTCAGGACATTCTCCATCGGCACAAACTGCAAGACCTGCTGCGGAGAGTCTGAGTCCAGCAAAGAGTTCATCTGCTTATTCATCTGCTGCAGGTATTGGAAAACCGGGTCTGGGAGGCCCTGATAGCCGGCACACAAGAGAACAGCGCTGGTCCTTAAAGGTTGCGATGAAGTGGGGCAAACAAAGGAGATGCGCTGGAAACAGCTGTGTAGTATGAACACCAAGCTCGCCATGAAGCGAGTGAAACAGGACAGAACTGGCAGAACCAGAGCGTCTCCGTTCTGAAGCTGGGGAAGCGAACACAGAAGGCATTTCAGGAACAGCTGTTGGTATTTTGGCTCTCCGTCGTGAAGCAGAGAGCAGCCGAAAGTCAACAGGGACGCCGACTCGAGACATTTAACTTCCAAGCCGTGCTGGCCGTCGGCATCACAAAGCACTGGGACGCCCACGACCAAACACTTGGTCCGGCCAAGGCAGTTTTCATCAGGAGCCTCTTCAGGATAACCGATCAGGTGTGACAGTTCAGACAGTACCGACGGCTGTGTGAGAATGCAGGACTGGCCCTCTGGCTGAGTCCATCTCAAGGGGGAGTCGAGACTCACTCTGCTAAGAAAAGACTTTTCGAGTGCTTCATTGAGGGCCTTTAGAACCTCCCCATCACAGAAGGGAGAGCATTTCACTCCCGGCAACCTCTGGCCTTCCAAGATGTACCACGAGTGACATTCCAGGTCACACGGTCCCCCTTCCAAGACACAGCCGTTCCCAGCATTAGCAGGCGAGTGTTCTTCGACCCACTTATTGAGGCAGCCCTTGGCCACTTTGTCCTCCCACGAGAGTGACTCCAGCCACTTCCTTTCATTGTATGTGCAAAAATATTTGCTCCTCTGTCCGCACCACTTGGCACTCAAGCTGCAGCCAGCACGAGGTCTCTTCACTATCCAGTTGTTTTTGGCAAGGGGTTTCATCTGGAACCTCTTCAAGAAGAAGTCCACGGCGCAGTCCCGTAAGAGATTTAGCCTCGCCCGCTCTGCCTCGCCCATGCCCTCAAAGAGCCGGAGGTTCCCAGAAATGGTCTCAACTTGATGTCTGTGAAAGAAAGAACAGCAGTCCTCGTGTACCTTAAGGAAAGATTCTGGAATTAAGTGCTGCGGAAAGAGGGCTTTCTCGACCATGCCCGCCCCAAAGCTCTGCATCATCTTGGACAAGAGCGAATGGATAGCCTCTCTGCCGAGGTAGCGGAGGCAGACCACGTACACTTCAGAATTCCCCGCTTTGCTCGTGGCTGGTTTGAAGACGTGGACCTCTTCAAACGAGCAGTTCAGGAGAAAGAGCAAATTGACGGAACAGTGCTCGAACAAAGTAAACATCTTCAGGACAAAGGAGCCCCCGAGGCCCAGAGTCATTAATGCGGTGACAGCTTCACAGTAGTGTAAGGAGGACACGAGCGCTTCTTGTTCGCCGGGATTTCCTTGGCAGTCAAAGCTCCCGTCGGCGGTGACCAGGTGAACGGCGGCCATGTTGCTTACGAAGTGCTGCAGCCCTCTAAGATACCTCAGCGTCATGACATCTCCGGTGTTATCAGGGCCAAAATACCACCAGGGCAAAGTGTTGGCGATAAGCCTGTCATCCATAACCATCATGAGGGTATCGTTGGCTTCATGGTACGGGTTCAACGTGTTGGCGACCCAGCTCCAGTCGCAAGGGATAGGGTGAGACTTGAGGTAGTGGTTGAGGCTGGTTATAAACGCCCCGGGAGCTTCGCACAGATGGATGGTGTTGAGCTCCCCGTTCTGAAGAGCATCACTCGGTAGCAGGGGAAAGCTGCCCAGGATCTCATGGAATTTGCACCAAGCTTGGGTGCACAACTCTGCATTTGCGGACTTCTTGATATAGGGAATGATTTTTCCCGCTTTGTTGGTGAAGGAGGTGTGTTGGTGCCACTGGTCCAGCTTCTTGTCACTCAGCAGGTTCTTGACTTCGTTCATGGAGTCCTTCAGGGCGACAAGGGAGCTGAAGTCCTTGTGATCGCAGGTGAACGCCTGGCTGGGATCCGGCAGCTGCCATTCATTGTTGGGGGGTTTGCTGTACAGGAACTTCTTCTCAAACAGTTTTGCTGTTTCGGCGACAATGTCAGGGCTGAACTGGTCAACGTTTATGATTTGCTCGACATACACCTTTTGCTGTTTGTTCATTCTCAGACTGAAGAGTGTGTGTGTGGGGGGGAGAGAATAAAGAGAGAACAAAATATAAAGCGCCAAAGTCTAAAACTATGCACTTATTTAAAACATTTATTAGCTGCCTTTCTACCTTACAGGAAATCAAGGCAGCTTACAATGTGAGCAATAATAAAAGACAACAAAATACATACAATGCTTAAACACCGTGAGTTAAAATCAATAATTTAAAACTGCCAGCAGGCAGAAGAAGTAACCAAGTGCCATTGTGAATAAAACTGTCTTTGCCTGCCTCTTGAAAGTTCAAAAGTGAGGGGGTCAGATGCATCTCCGGGGGAAGGTTGCTCCATAACCACGGGGCTGCCACTGAAAAGGCTGCCTCTTGAAAGTTCAAAAGCGAGGGGGGTCAGACGCACCTCCGGGGGGAGGTTGCTCCATAACAATGGGGCTGCCACTGAAAAGGCCCTGCCGTGAACCAATGTTCCCTCTAAGCTGCGCAGTCTTGTCAGCAAAAATTCTATGTGAGAAAAAATTCTACTTTGTGAGCTACTGGCATTAAAGTTGTGAGCAAGCGATTTGGCTACTGCATAAATCAGTTTGCTCTGGAGCCATCCTTCCTGAGCCAAGACAAAAATGTGTGAGCTGGAGGCTAGCTCACACTAACTCAGCTTAGCGGGAACACTGCAGTGAACCCCTCGGATGAGCGTCTCAGGCAAAGTATGGTCTTCAGCCCACAGAGGACCCCCCTGCCACAGAACCGTCATTTTTTAAAACTGCTTTTTGGAAGATCAATGCCATTGCGCATCTCTAGAGAAAGCAAAGGCAACAGACTTCCAGTCTACCTTTGCACACATACTGTGAGGAGCAGCAGAGGGGTAAGGAGACAAAGTGGTTGCTTAGTGCTGCTATAGCTCTTGCATTTAACACAAGAGCATAAGAGAAGCCGATGTTGGATCAGGCCAATGGCCCATCCAGTCCAACACTCTGTCACACAGTAGCCAAAAATACCAGGTGCCATCAGGAGGTCCAGCAGTGGGGACAGGACAGTAGAAGCCCTCCCACTGTTGCCCCCCCCCAGCACCAAGAATACAGAGCATCACTGGCCCCGGACTGGGAGTTCCGATTTCCGGAGATCCCTCTATGCAAACACCCACACCTACAATTGTGACACCTCCAATGGGGCTGCAGCCTTAAGCAGCATCTTGCTCACCTATCAGAGATCATGCAGAGGTTCCTGCTGGCAGTTCTTTTGCACATGCTGTAGATGGGCCCGATCCCACCCTAATATACAGACAGAGTCCAGCGCTTCTGCAAGAGAGAAACATGAAACCATTTCAGTTTGCAGCACTTTGTTACCTTGTGGCGATAGTTTTCCAATTGTGTTTTAGGGAGCCCAAGGCTTCATAGGACGTTCCATCATGGCATCTTAAATCAAGAAAACCAGAAACGATACACAACCTTCCCAAGAGGATCGGGCTACCACCACTACTGAACTTCCCCAGCCATGCACAATATTCAGTGTGTGTACAGTCCTCTCATTGTGTGTACGATCCCCAGCCATACTGGGGGAATTATACTATTTTATCTGTTTTAACCTTTTATTTTCTATTGTTTTTAATTGTTCATGTTTAATTATGATGTACACTACCCTGAGCCCTCCAGGGGAGGGCTAATAATAATAATAATGACGAGGAGGAGAAGCAGCAGCAATATTCAGTGCATGCACAATTTCATTTTTTGTGGGGCAACTGACAGGTTGAGCTTCCTGTACCCAACATTAACACTGAACCCCAGAACATTTCCCCATTCCCAGAATCCTACACAGCATGCAGGCATATTAGGGGGGTGGGGTGTCAACGCACCCACAGCAATAGAAGGGATCCTTGAGGTAGTTCCAGGGAATCTTAGTCTGTGGCACTAAAACTAAACTGCAGCTCTATTGTACCTCAAAGAGTAACAGGATTCATTCCAGCAATAAAGTTTGTAAGCAGAGTTTGAAGTAGCATAAAGTTTGAGTCCCGTGGCACCTTTAAGGCCAACAAAGTTTTATCCAATAAATAAAACTGTGTTGGTCTTAAAAGTGCCACTGGACTCAAACTTTGTTGTGCTGCTTCAGACTAACTGGGCTACCCACCAGTTTAAAGTGCCACTGAGCTGTACCGCTTAACTCCCCTTGAAGGTCAGAAACTTCTGCATGGAAAAATAAAAGAGGACCAGCCAACCCTCTACCATGACAGGCCTCACTGCAACGCAGGCGCCTCTTGCAACTTCATCATCCGTTCAGCCACAATAAGAATGCCCACCTCCACACTGGTCCTGTGCACTGCCAAAAAGGCATTCATAAAACACCCTCCCACACACCACCCACAAATATGCATTTACAAAGAGAAAGAGAGAGAACTCCACCTTGGTCATAGCTACAAACGGCGTTGGATGAAAGAACTATGCAAAAGAAAGCTCGTATGTGTAAAATAAACCTTAAGCTTTCGCTCCAGCTACTACGCATGCGCGCTTGCCTCCCTTTTGCTATCAACGGGAGCTGGGCGAGCTTTTACGCATGCGTGCACCCTTTTCAGCACTTCAGTATGCCATGGGCCGGGCAGGTCCGAGCCTGGGCGCGATTTTGCCCGTGCGAGCTTCCTGCTCTCTTTCACTTCCTCGGGGCGGGGCAAGCTTTCCCGCATGCGTATCGGCGTCTTCATTTTCCCCAATGGCTGAATGGAAGGCAAGCCAGTGCCCAAATAAGTACGGCGCGCTTCGGCCGCCAGCGGGTGCGCATGCGCAGCACGTTCCCCTGTCGCTTGAGCCCGCCTGGTTTCCCGCTCCCTTTTCCCCCCTCATCGGAGTTTGTGGGCCACGAGAGCGGTGTTTGCTGCGCGCGCAGAGGCGGACTGTTTGAAGTGGCGGAAGTGACGTCAGACGTGGAGGCCTGGGGCAGGGGCTGCTAGAAGCGGCGGCGATGGCGGTTGAGGGGGAGGGTAAGGCCGGTCTTTTTTTGGTGGGGCTGAGGGAGAGGCGGCTGCGGCCTTGTCGGTTCAGCTATTTGTCTGCGCTGGGACGAAAGGCGTTTGGTTTTGTGGTCATTATATTTGTGTAACCGTTACTGATATTCTGCAAGTACTGTACATGCAATCCAAATTTGTTGCGGTATGCTACGTTCTGGGGTTTCATTTGTATTATGTGGTTTTTAACTTTATATTTTCATGCACTGTGCAGTAAATATTTGTATTTTATTTCGTGTTTTAGCTGCTCAGCTTTTAAGGTTCCTAGTCCGAAGCACTCACCCACGAGTTTGCCTGCAGTGCCTCTGGATACCATTGGCTGGGACCACACAAGGAGTCCTCTAATGAGGCATTAGAGTTATTGGAACGAACTTGCAAAAGGGGTGGGCGAGGAAGCACAAGAAAGGTTTCCTTGCGTAGGAACCTTGAAAGTGGAGAGTTTAGTGCAGCAAGAAGCAGGTTGGTAATACAGCCTTTCTCCCCAGTGCACTAGATTTTTGTATTTATTGGGAGTTCTTCACTTGAGGGCAGTACAGAAAGGCAGTCTTTGATCACCTTGAGATTATTCCAGTTTGTCCTGTAGTGTGCATAGCTGTAAGCTGTACCTGAGCTCTGTGCATTTGATCACCTTGAGATTATTCTATTTTGTCCTGTAGTGTGCATAGCTGTAAGCACATAAGATCTGCCTTCCTCCGTCAGACCAGTGGTCACATGTAGTACTGTATTCTTTTTCTGTGCACAGGGCCAGCTGGTTACCATGGAGTGCCAACAAACAGGCATACTGGCCGAGGTCCGATGTTGCCTCCAAGCCCTAGCGTTCAGCAGTTTATTGTCTCTGAATGAGATCTCCCGATTGGTCATTATGACTTCATGCATCATTGTAGCTGATGTTGGTGCATACACACAGTAGGTAGAAGGTCTGCAGAAGTATGAATTAGCACGGTGTGAATCTGGGTTGCTAACATCCAAACCTACTGCTGTTCTGACCACTTAAAATAGGGTGGGTCTAGAATTGGTTCCTATTTAACAATAAAATCATTGTTTTAACCCAAAGCATGCTTATTGCAAAATTGAGTTTTATTGAATTCAGTAATGTAAGTGTGTCTTGAAGTTGCTTAACTTTCTAATTTTGTTAGGGACTGCTTTTTTCTTACAATAGCTGTTTCATATCCTTTAAGTAAGATAAGTCCTTGTATTTATCCATTCTTCCTGACTGTGCCTTCTAGGTGTTTCCTGTATGTTTATATTCATGCATCTCCCTTTTAAAGGTGCTGACATGCTGTGGAAATGCATGAGACCAACTTTTCTGTAGTATTTGAAATAGTTCTTAGCTGCTGTCCTCAAAAGGACTGCCAAAGGCACCTTGGTGAGCCTGCACCTGTTTTCAGTGAGAAAATATGTGAAAACCTGTCTTTGAAATGTTTATAGGCTAGTTTTGCCTGAATATGCATTGGTTAGAGCAGGTATTGGCAATTTTTGTTGTTGTTCTAAGAGCCAGACTTGTTTTTAGCTGTCAAGGTTTTGTACTTTAATGACAATATTTTCTAATTATTGGTACTAGAAAATCTAGTCCTAAACTCTTTATAGTTTCTCCTAATTTACTAAACTCTGACAAAAGTGTCGTAGTATATATATGAATATGGGTTGTCATAACCTTGACATAAAACTAACCTTTAACCATTAACCTGACTTCTCCCCACCTTCTCATAATTTCATTGTTGCTGTAGAAAAGCTACATTTAATTGAATGTTGGAGGTAGTATAGCAAGCAACTGGCTAATAAATGAATCTATCTAGTGTCACTGAATGATGTAAAGTTAAAATAGAAACAAGTATTAATAAGAACTTTGTGGACATGAATTTTTATGTCCTTCAACAAAACATTCTGATATTAAATCATAAATAAGCTTTGTACTTCTTAGGATCCCTGAGAGAGACTATAATAAAATCATTACTGATAATTCTAGTTGCTATAGTGAAATGTCTAGGAGCCATAGCGACCTGGTGTCTGGGATTTGTTGAGCCCTGGCTGGAGTCAGTTAATTGTTAATTGATTCTTCCCCCCCCCTCTGCCACTGAGCTTTAGTTCCTTGGGGATGTAAAAAGGGTATATTTTGCCTCCAGGCATCAAAGCAAGAGAAACTTATGTTTTGGGAAACGATAGTTATTTATGGAGTGTCACCTCAAGGTGAATGTCTTATGTTTTTTTCCTTTAACACAGTAAGCTGAGGTTAGAGAACACCAAGCTAGCCTTATCTCAGTGCCCTGCATTAAAGATACCTGTTAATTTTTTTCCACTTAGATGTATATTAAAATATTTGTTGCCTTTTACCTTCTGAATGCAGCATGAGCAGTGTTAAATATTTTCAAAGATGAAAAGGAAAGTGGCTAAAGGTGGAAGGTTAAGACTGAGTCCCAATGAAGAAGCTTTGCTGTTGAAAGAAGAATATGAAAGAAGAAGAAAATTAAGGCTGCAGCAGGTATGTTTTCATTGTTGACAGTGGTGTTCTTCTGTTAGGCAGTTTAAATGAGACTTCTAATTTTGGGGATGAAAACATGCAGGATTATGACCAAAGTATTGGTTGAGGCTCCCCATCCCAGGTAGGTAGGTTAATTAAAAAATCAGGAGTATATTTATAATTTTGGAAATAACAGAAACAATACTCCTGAGTCCTGATATTTTAATAAAACTAGTCATGCCCTTCCCGACTCCGATCTGGAATTAAAATGGGTCAGGGAGAGAAATGAAGAGCCCTCAGCAGATTGGTGTATTATTGGCTCTTTAAACTTTAAAGGGACTATTTCCTGTGGAGCTGGACCTGGCTTCTGCAGGCCAGGTGAACTGCAGAGGAAATAATGACTCTTTAAAATGTAAATGTCCAGTGTACCATCAATCAGTTGTTGAGTGCTGGGAAAAAAAATAGGTGGTAGGGCTGATGTCTGGACTCTGGAGATTAAGTCTCCAGCTTGTAGGAAAATGTCTAGAATTGGCCCTAGACTGACTTATTGAGCGAGAACCTTTCTTGCTATCTTAAACCCCCCCTCAGTGAGATGCCTCTTGGGATGGAAATGTGAGGGTGCTAGTCACTCGATCCATTGTGGTTAACCACAAACATATCAGAATGTGATCTACAAATCAGTTAACTCTGTCAACCCCCCTTTGCCCCCCCCCCCCCCCCGCCTTTTTGTCTGCCTGTATTCTGTGTGTTAAAATTTGGGCACGTGCATTTTTTTTTTTAACACCAATAATCAATGAATTTAATAATAGTAAGACATATAAAGTACTCAGAACAAGTTTTCCGTAAACGGGTAGAAATTCACTGGTAAAGTTGATCACAGGTAGAAATTCAAAGGTGGAGTTTTTCCGCAAACAATTTGTAATAAATTCAAAAAAGTCCTTGAACTGTAAGGATGTAATAGTGTCTCTGTCAGCTAACTCAATGGACCCCCAGTTCTAAATCCATTTTAATAATTTTTTTCAAGAATCATGTTGGATTCAACATTTCAAAGATACATGTAGACATCCATAAAGCATATTCAGATACAGCAATCCTCAGTGTTTCCCAGTGTAGAATCTGTCATTTCTTGGAACCTCCCTAAAAAATTCTGAAGCATTTCACCATTTTCATTAGAGGGAAAGGTTCTATTATTATTATTATCATTGTTATTATTATATGTATTGATTATTGGTGTTAAAATTTGGGCACATGCATTTTTCTCTTGTTTTCATAAATTGCTGTGCCACTGCCTTTCATCTTGTATCTGTATTCTGTGTGTGCCAGAGCTATATGCTAAGGAGCGAATGGGTTAGGTAGGGACACCAGTGAACTTGATTGAATTAGAAGCAGGCTAGACTCTTCTGCAAACTATAGAACCATTGACAAATTATTTTTTTCTAGGTTAGAGAGCAGGAGAGAAATATTGCTTTGCAAATAAGGCAAGATGTTAAGCAACGAAGAGATGAGCAGCTGCATCAGTTGGCAGAAGAACTGAAGGCAGAGTGGCAGAAAGCACAAGAGGAGAAAATTAAAGCCTTGGAAAAGCTTTATCTGGCAAGCCTGAGAGCTATAGGAGAGGGGCACAGGCAGGCAAAAGAAAACGTAAGCAAATGACTGGTTTGAGACTGTCATGATTGAGTCTGATAATTACTGAACTAAAATCTTAATAACTATGATTACTGGAACATGCAATGTGTGAAATTTGCTAATTAGATTGAGAAGTGATGATAATATTTTATTAAACGAGTGTACATCTGGAAAACCGGACTTTCCTAAATTAATTTTGTATGTGTTGTATGCATATGTGCAATAATGCGGTTTGTTGATCAGTAAAACAAAACCAGTATCTCATAGTTGTTGTTGTTCAGTCGCACAGTCGAGTCCGACTCTTCGCGACCCCATGGACAATCTCCCGCCAGGCTCTCCTGTCTTCCGCCGTCCTCCGAAGTTGACTCAATTTCATGTTCGTTGCATCGATGACACTGTCTAACCATCTCATCCTTTGCCGTCCCCGTCTTCTTTGACCTTCAATCTTTCCCAGCATCAGGGTCTTCTCCAGGGAGTGCTCCCTTCTCATTTGGTGGCCAAAGTATTTGAGCTTCAGTTTCATTATCTGGCCTTCCAGGGAACAGTCAGGGTTGATTTCTTTGAGGATTGACTGATTTGTTCTTCTTGCAGTCCAAGGGACTCTCAAGAGTCTCCTCCAGCACCATAGTTCAAAAGAATCTATTCTTCGGCGCTCGGCCTTCCTTATAGTCCAACTCTCACAGCCATACATGACTACTGGGAATACCATTGCTTTGACCATGCGGACTTTTGTTGGCAGGGTGATGTCTCTACTTTTTATCATGCTGTTTAGGTTCGCCATCGCTTTCCTCCCAAGGAGCAGGCGTCTTTTAATTTCATGGCTGCAGTCACAGTCTGCGGTGATCTGGGATCCCAGGAACGTGAAGTCTGTCACTACTTCCACGACTTCCCCTTCTATTTGCCAAGGAGTGATGGGGCCGGATGCCATGATCTTAGTTTTTTTGATGTTGAGCTTCAAGCCCACTTTTGCGCTCTCCTCTTTTACCCTGAGCAAGAGGAGTGGCAGAAAGCACAAGAGGAGAAAATTAAAGCCTTGGAAAAGCTTTATCTGGCAAGCCTGAGAGCTATAGGAGAGGGGCACAGGCAGGCAAAAGAAAACGTAAGCAAATGACTGGTTTGAGACTGTCATGATTGAGTCTGATAATTACTGAACTAAAATCCTAATAACTATGATTACTGGAACATGCAATGTGTGAAATTTGCTAATTAGATTGAGAAGTGATGATAATAATATTTTATTAAACGAGTGTACATCTGGAAAACTGGACTTTCCTAAATGAATTTTGTATGTGTATGCATATGTGCAATAATGCGGTTCGTTGATCAGTAAAACAAAACCAGTATCTCGTAGTGGTCAGGTGTAAAAGTGGTAGCAGATTCATCTGTGCCCTTTTTTCTTTTGCAAGGGTTCTACTTTATCTGATGACCAAACTATTTTAAATCCTTGGAGAAGCGGGACTAATAAAATGTGGAAGACTTCTACTGTACTAAGTGGAAGTTGCTATTTATGTTTTTTAAAAAGAAGTAATAATTCTTAGAACCATAGGAAGAGAGGAGATGGGAAAAGGTTTGGAGCACTGAGATTTGGGAAGATGTCACTCCCTGTTGGGAAAAAGAAGTCTTCCCCCATTTTTCTCAGTGCTAAATAATTATTGTGATGTAGTCAGCATTTGGGATACTTAGGGTTGGATCCAGCAGCTCCTGTTAAGTGGATAGAGGAAGACTCCTCACTTAAAAGAAAGGAGCAGTTGAACACAACCTGTTATATCCAGCTTAATAACGAAGCTTGGGCAAGAATAAATTTCACGCCTAAATGCGTTTGGTTGGATTAAATCACACTGATTTCAAGGGAATTTTCAAATATGATGAGTAGGATTGCTGTCTTAACTGACCAGTTTAACTGTAGCTGTGGTGAAACAGTTTTGTCTTGGACTAATGTTATTGAATACCTTATAAGAAGAAAACATTTACTTGTTTTTACAAGAAATGGCCAGTATATGTGTCCATCTCTAGTGTCTCCGGACACACATGGCTCTCAGGATGCCCTGCATCCTGTTCAGCTCGGTTAAGAGCTGTGTATAGCAAGGCTAAAGGCTGTTGCTTTATGGTCAACAAGGTTAGGATGAGTCTGGGTGGAAAGTCATTGTGTCACCTCTGGTGTTCCATGCCCAGTTTGGCGTGCTGGCAGCAACTCCTAGGATTGAGATCAAAGTGTCTGAATGAAAGGGAAGGGAATGTTTGTGAGGCTACCTGGACTCTTATGTGACAAGCAAACATGACTGTTTTAAGCAAACTGAAATACTATCTGTTGCTGCTAGAAGTAATTTGGCTCTGTGTCAGCTAAGCATGGGTTATGTTTTATTTCAAAGAAACCTGATCCGGAGGCTGAAGCAAAGCAAAGGGAAAGGAAACAAAGAGCAGAAAGGAGGCATAAAGAAGCCCTGAAGGAGCAGAAGAACCAAAAACAGAAGCTGCAGAAGGAGCAAACATGGTAGCTGTCGTAACTGTACATACAATGAATTTTCTCTGTTTTAACTACTGGAAAGGACTCTTTTCATACTTGCACACTTAACAAATCTCAGGAATTATGTATTCTGAGAAAAGTGTTGTTTTCAATAGTTTAAGGGACTTCTACAGGTAAAAGTGCAGAATACTAGGAGTATTATGAGGACTTAGAGTGCAGTCCTAAGCATTTTTACATCCTTCAAAGCCCATTGACTTCAATTGATTTAGAGGGGATAAAACTCTGCTTAGAATGGTGCTGCTGCAAGTCATTGGTCCTTAGAGCCAACCATATGGTTCAATATCTGTAAGTCATTTCAGAGAAGATTAACTGAAGTTACTTGTCTAAGACCTGCTGGTTCATCTGTGGCTGACCTCATATGTTGCTTGGGTATTAGTAGCTCTATCCAGTAGATTGGATTACACTATTGTTAGAGGGTCTGGTTTTCAGAACAGCAGCTGTCATTTGCGTTTAATAATCTGCTTCCCAATAAGCACTCAGTCTGGGAGGGAAGGCAGCATAATATAGCCGATCTCATCAGACCTCAGAAGCTAAGCAGGGCCAGTACTTGGATGGGAGAGCACCAAGGAAGGCTCTGCAGAGGAAGGCAATAGCAAACCGCCTCTGCTTCTCAGTTACCTTGAGGGCCCCTTGCTGAGGTCGCCATAAGTTGGTTGCGATTGAGAGTTCTTGCATGCATACATACATAAGAACGTAGTTCAACCAAAATGGGTTTGTTGGTTATGTCTACAGAGATGAATGTCAAATAATCTTTGGTTCCAGTGGTTACCTATTTTGGTCTGCAGCGGAAGAGCTGGATTCAAGTCCAACAGCACCTTAAAGACCAACAAGATTTCCAGAGTTAAAGTTTTAGCGAGTCAAAGCTCCCTTTTGTCAGATTCTCAAGCTTATATCCTGGAAATCACGTTGGTCTTTAAGATGCTTTTGGACTCGAATCAAGCTTTGTAACACTAAAAACACTCAGCCATTTAGTAAGGTATTCTCATCAAACATGCGTAAGCATCACTTGTTGCCAGACATGCTCGCCTGTGAATAATAAACGTAGTCTTGAAAATGTGTTGTATGTGTCGACAGTATATGTAAGAATTAATGTTACCTAATGTGTTGCCGTCACATTGGTTTCGAGGGAAGAGTAGGGGAAAAACAGACGGGGGACACTGCTTCCCAGCCTTTGTGAAGCTGTTTGGCTGTTGCCAAAACATCTTAATTCATTAGCTAGACTGAGTGTATAAAGTTAGTTGAGGAACATTACCTTCTTGTTGACACACTCAATTTGTTTAATCTTGTCAGTGTGTGTAATACCTAAGCCATCTCTTCCAAGGGTTTTCAGTGGTGGTGAGGAGGATATCCAAGTTTCAAAAACATGTTTACGGCCATCTGTAGTAGAGATGATAAGAAGCATGTCTTTGTACAGTGGCTAGGTATTCATGTAGCTCAGTCCTAAGTCATTTCAGGTTGGATAGCCCTGTTGGTCTGCAGTAGAAGATCTAGATTCAATTCTAGTTGGACCTTAGAGACCATGAAGATTTTGGAGGTATGAGCTTTCAAGAATCAAGCTCTCTTCATCAGATGCTGCATTTGATGAAGGCAACTTTGACTCTCGAATGCTTACACCCCCAAAATCTTCCTGGTTTCTACTGGACTCAAATCTAGCAATCCTTGGTAGGTTTTGACATAGAAATAAGTCTCACAGTCTTCAGTGAGACTTACTCCTAAATTGGTTTGTATAGGATTGTTGCCCTGCTGGTATTTTCTCTTTTACATTTGTCTGAAGGACACAGCTTTCCATTTTCACAGGGAAACAGATGGTGTCCTAAAACATCCCAGTAACTTGCTAGGTGTTTTTGAAGGTATGCAAATAACCTCCTCTCCATTATCCATTATTTAACATTTGTTTTCCAGCTAAAAGTCATAATAGCGCTGCCTGCTAACATTTGTTCTACTTGAGATTCAGTAAATGGGAGAAAAGTAAAATATATTGATCATGTTTTATTTAAATTAATTTTACTGTTTGACTTGGCCCTGTGCAAAGTCCCATTTTGAATGTTTTATTTCTCACTGCCTCTCATCAAACAAGGAGGGCAAATGCACGGAAGCATGCGTTAAAAGTAGAAAAAGAGCGAGCGGCCAAAATTGCAAGCCTGCCTCCACCTCCGCCCCATCCTTTTGAAGTGAGTATTTTTCCCAAAAACATTTTAAGATCCCAGTGATTTAGCTGGTTAGAATGGAATATTTTAAATAGAGATGAATGCCATCATTTTAAAAATATGTTTGCAGACAGGCTAGAAGTAGCCTATCTGAACCTCAGTATTTAGTGGACGGAATTTCACGTTCTAAGACTGAAATGGGTCCATAAATGAAATTTGGAACATTAGGGCTCAGTTGATGCATTATGAGAAGTTCCGAAAGCAGATGTGATATGATGCCTTTTATTTTGGACCATCTAAAGTATCACAGAATGGTGTGCAAGCTCTTGAGTTTCTTAGAACTCTTCATCAGTCAGGATGTTGAGTACAAAAAGAAGGAAGGATGTCTGGTGGTGCGAAGAGAATACAATGACTCAGGGCATGGTCAAACAGTGCATTGGTCTGCAGTTTCCAGAGCCCTGTGATGCAAGGCAGGGTGAGTGTGCAGACTTTCAGATTGATTTTGTGTTACTTTGGCTGGTCCTAATAAAATATATTTTTGCTCCTGGGATATTTTTTTCTGGGAACCAGCATTGCTGCCGACAATCTCACATGTTCAAATAAATGATAAAATATTATAGGGAAATTGCAATAAGAAGATCGGTGCTGCCTGTTGTACATTCATGGACTGTTCCACTGCAGTGTTGTTCACATTTGAAGTGCTGGGTCCAGTAATAGCCTGGATCCAGGCACTTTCCATTTTCAGGCCCCTTCATGTAATTCCTCAGGGTCCCCCTCCCATCACCCCAGAGCAGCATTTCGTGTAGATCATGGGCTGCAGTGAGCAGGAAGAGGCAGGAAAGTTCCATTCTGCCATTGGAAAATTTAGTCCGGATCTAACCCAGTGAGTGGAACAAACTAATCAAGAAACTGTTACAAAAGGGGCTGAAAATGAGCAACATTTGCTGGATCAAGGACTCAGTGTTTGGCTACCTTTCCAACCACTTTTATTTCAAGCTGTGTTCTTCCTTGTCTTTGAAATATTACATGCCCATGGGTAGATTTCCCCCCAATGGTGTACTTTGTTATGTAAATCTTAAAAGCTTTTGTTAATGCAGTTTCATGATATGAAGATTTCACCCCATTCCCTCACTCAGAGGCAAAACATTTTCCCTCAGTTTTTTCTTCCTTTTTGACTGAGCAGCCCCTTTTTCTATTTTCTTCTTTCCTGAAGATATGTGGCTGTCCCCCACCCTGTCATGTTATTGTATTTTGATAGTGGCTCAGCTCAGGAACTTGAGGGGAGAGACAAGATCACCCTGTTAACTTAATTCCTGAAAATGGCACATGAGAGACTTTAGAATGTTCAAAAACTAAACAAGATACTTTATTCAGTGTAGGGGGGAAATATCAGGTGAAATCAAGGGTAAAATACCTGAGGTAATTCAATAAGAACTCTGAGGTAACTTAGTATAGGCACAAACTCCAGTTAATATATTTCCAGCAATTGAGAGTTTTAAATCTTAGAATCATTGAGATGAGAGGTTTTGGTTTCAGTGTTTCCTAAACACTCCAGTATATTTCCTTGGGTTTAACTGACTCTTTTGGTTTCCTGAAGGCAGGGATACACTACCAAGTGCCCAAATGCCTTCTCCAAACACACCAGACAAGGGATCACTCCACTTTTCAGAGCTATCTCCCTTTCAACTGGGTAGGGAATCACTTCTCCCTTTTCCTGGCCTGAATGGGGGTCTTCCACCTGCTCCTCCTTGCCAACCTTCCCAGTCCTCTGCCAGTGTTAAACTTTCTGCGGTCAGAACTAAACTCTTCTTAGTCAGGGCTTAACTCCAAATCAGTCAGCACTAAACTGAATTCTCCTTAACAGTCAGTTCCCAAATCTTGCTGCGCAGCTGACGCTAACCAAATTCATTTTAGCTACCTGCATTCAAGGCTCACAGTCCATTACATATTTATACAGCACTTAAGAGCTTTTAAAGTGCAGTCCATCACACATGGCTAAAAATGTGAGCTGTGAGATTTCACCACAAATGTTCTGTCTCATGTCAGTCATTGACTCTCTATGTAGCCTTAATTTACCCCTAAGTCAGGAATACTGAGATAAGTCATGGATAGTGCTTGGAATATGCTCTGTCATTATGGCAATTAAGTAACACTGGATACTCAACTATGCTTTCATTAAAAAGTTAGAACAGGAGTGGTGTTGTGCATCAGTTCATACAATTGACAGGCAGAAAATGTGGATTCCCTCCTAGAAATATGATTGACTTTGCTTATATCTGTTTAATTCCTGTCATTACCATATCTCTGCTACCCAAGTTGCTGTGGACTTGTGGACTTTTAGCAGGAGCATTTTTGACATTCCGCCTCCAGCTGAGCCTTGCACTATGTATAGTAGGCAGCCTTGTGCAGTTTATTGTTCTGTTCAGTATGCAGTAGAAGGCTTACCATTGTTAATAACCGTTTGTTCTTTTCACATTTTAGAATATTGAGCTGAAGAGCATGCCTACAGTGAAGGTCTACGATGGTGGCAGTTTTGCGATTAGTCGTCACCACTTCTTTGACCCATATGTGGATAGAGAAATGGACACAGAACAGGTGATTGCTTTTGGATTTGCATGTGTAATATTCTCTGCGGCAGCTCTAGCCAGAAGACCAATGATTTGTTTAAGTTTGGTGTGAACCGGGTTCTCTTGTCTTCTGTAAGTAATCATGGGACCTCCATATATTTCTAGATCTTGGTCCATTTATCATTTACTAATTTCTGTCACAAGAGAAATGTGACATAGTCACCTCAGGGTATTTCTTTGCAGATTTTTTTCCCGCTGCTGCAAACGTTTACACTCCAAAACTGTTGATTATGGCACCGCTTCACTTAACCAGTGCTCAGTTACTCCATTGTGTGTGCTTATAGAGGGCAAGGACATAGGATCAGAGTTTCACAAATGTGTTCTTAGCCAGATAAATAATGTATTAGTATGGCTTGTTCAAAGCTAACGTCTTATAAACAGCAGCTGCTTTTGTCTGCATGGAGCCGGAAGAAAAATTTACTTAATGGAGCTGGAAGAAAAATTTTCTAACTCCAGCATCTGGTTGAGGTTGAATTCAGGTACAGCTGGTATTTTAGGTGCACTTCTCGAACAAGCAGTTTGGTCCTTCGGGCCGTCTGATCCGATAGCTATGAAACTGCTCGCTCGTCGTCAGCTTGTTTTCGAAGGCTCTGGAGCTTGACACTGCTAACCTGCTGTTCGTTCACTGCCAGCCAGACGCTCGGCTGCTCGCGGAAGAGGAAACCAAACGGCAGGAAGGACTGCAGAACAAAGAAGAAAGGGAAAAGCGAGAACAGCTGGAGAAGGCTCATCTGAGAGGCAAGCAAGCCTTGAAGGTGGTTCGCCTGGCACGCGTAAGTAACACGGAAGTGTTGCATCTTACCTTGAAATGTGAGCCAAAAAATAATAGTGTTGTAAAATAAGGGCATAAGGAGAGCTCTGCGGAATCCCACTTGAGGTCTACTTAGTCCAACATCTGATTTCCTCTGGTTCCAGCGTTGCCAGTCCCCCCACTTTCATGTGCATACCCCTCCTTCCCTCCCAGGCTGACTGTATGTACTACACGTGCAACACCATGAACAAGTCGTACGAGGCACACAAAGAACATTAGGAGCAGTCCAACGTCTTATTTCCTCTGGTTCCAGCGTTGCCAGTACCCCCACTTTCATGTGCATACCCCTCCCTCCCAGGCTGGCTGTATGTACTACACATGCAACACCATGAACAAGTCATACGAGGCACACAAAGAACATTAGGAGCAACTGCCATGTTTTGTGTCTCACAGAGAACCTAGTGGTCCCTGGTGCCACTGAGGCCAGCAGAATCTGTTCGGGGTGTTCAAAGGGGAGTTTTTTTCCTTTTTTATCAGATTGAGTCTCTGAAGAGCATACATGCAGCAGTAAATTTGCTCTCCCTTAAGATGCTGCAAGACTCTTCTTTTGATTAAGAAGTGAGTTTATTTAGAGTGGTCTCTGCCATCCCAAACCATGACAAGTCCAATGATTGTTCTCACTGCTGTGTAATTTCCTTAAGCGTGCGTATATTAAATATTTTGCTGCATCCTGCATTAGGGATTCATTTTTATGGCACTTTACTAATTCAACAGAAGCTATAAAGCTGAGCTATTAAGGGAGAATAATGTGGGCTTCTCTTCCCAGAATACTTAATTTTATTGTAACATACCTGATGGCTGTGGAGAAGGAAGCTATTAATATTTCATTTTAAGTAACAATTAACAAAACTGTGTCTTCTGAAACCATATAGGACAATCTTCAGAACTGAAGCCAATGTTTCAAAACAATCTATGACTTAATAAAAGGTTTTTAGACTATAAACCGTGCTGGAAAATGGCACATACCCCCCTTTTTAAAGGGAACCGCAGGTTACTTTAAAACTGTTTATTTGGAAGAGAACTCAGACTCATTTTATACATAATGAAACAGATAACTTAGCTTTTCCTGTGTAATATATATATTCATACACGTGTTTTTGGTCTTGTTACAAATCTAATAGAACCTTCCAATTTTCCCTGTTAGCTGTGGAGTCTTGCAAGCAAAACTTCTACTTTGTGAGCTACTGGCATTAAAGTTGTGAGCGAGTGATTTGGCTGCTGCATAAATTAGTTTGTTCTGGAGCCATCCTTCCTGAGCTAAGGCAAAAAATGTGTGAGCTGGAGGCTGAAAAACCGTGAGCTAGCTCACAATAACTCAGCTTAGAGGGAGCACTGGAACCGTCGTGTGTGTGTGTGTGTGTATCCACACACACACACCAGAATTAATATGCCTCACTGGATTTGTTTAATGGCACCTTTTTCTTACAGAGCACCCTTGTTTAAGCATCCCTAATGCACACAGAGTGGGATCGGTTACTCGGAAAAAAAACACCTAGCTTTGAAAGGCAGCCTATTGATTGATTGATTCTGCTGCCTTTTAGGACAGGGAAAAGCTGATGCAAGAGCTTGAACAGATGCAGAATATGGACCTGGCACGTAGAAGACAGATAGTTGCCCAGATGCCACCTCAGCTGTTTGAACCAGGCTACAGACGTGAGGAACTGAGGGAAGAATGGCAGAGGGAGCTGGAGTGTGCCTTTGAAGACATGTATACTGGAGAGCGGAGTAAGTTTTTTTTAAATTTAAAACAGTGTTCTTTAGGGTTTTTTTCAGCTATGGTTGTGGAGAACCTGGGGTTGCTTGGAAACTTGTCAAGGTTCCTCAGTGAGGAGGAAGATAATAGCTGGCGAGCTTTGTTAGCCAGTCTGCAGTTACCAGCCAGTATACTGCTGCAGCATGCAAGCAATTGCTGTGCTTGGTTCATTCAGGACGGTGGTGAAATGTTGCACACCTGGGCCAGTGCCCTGTGTAAGCTGAGTGCACCCTTTAGACAATGCCCCAGAACTTCTGTGATGCACTATTTTTTCGCCCTGTAGCATGTGTTCAGGGACAGCTCAGCAGACAAGGGTTTTTTGTTTTGTTTTGAAAAACGGTGATTTAGAAAAATAGAGCTGGATGGGACCCCAGAGGTCCTCTAGTCCAATCCCTGGCACAATGCAAGAAATTGATAGCTATGTCCCCCCCAACTCTCCCAGTGACCCCTGCTCTGTGCCCAGAGGAAGGCAAAAAAACTGGATCCCTGAGCCAATTTGACCTAGAGGAAAATTCCTCCCTGACCCCCAAAGTTGCAGTTGGCATTACCTTGGGGGCATGTAAGAAAGTGCGTGATTCATCCCATCCTGCCCTCCCTTTCACAATCTGCCTAAATTCATAGTGAGTCATAGCGAGAAGGTCAGGGAAGTAGCCTGCCAAGCAGTGCTTCTCAGCAGTCTCTACTCCCTGTACTGGGCCGTATTCAGGAGCCTGCACGAGTTCCATCGGAAGGAAAGGAAAGCCTCCAGCGACAGTGATGGAGGAGAAACTTATCGCACGCCTATGATACCCACTACGGAATATTCCTGTTGCAGTAGCTTGAATTACTCCAGTAGCCCTCTAGATTGAAGTGGATTTCAGTTCACAACCTGAGTGCATTTGTTTCCATGTTTAGTTCAAGGGCTTTCCTTTAAAAAGCAATGCTGTAACTCCAGTAGCACTCTAGATTGAAGTGGATTTCAGTGCACAATCTGAGTGCATTTGTTTCCATGTTTAGTTTAAGGGCTTTCCTTTAAAAAGCAATGCTGTGGCATATTTAGTTTATTGAAATCATTTTTCCTAGAGTACCAGATTCATGCAGCAGTAAGAATTATTTCAATTCGGAATCTTGAGAGTTTGGATGGCACTTCCGATTTTTGTTACGAACGTGGCGTGTAGTGTGAATTCCGGGAACCACTTTGTTCAGTTGATGTTTGAAGCTTTTGCTTCAAGGTGCTAACCCTGTCCTAAAAACAGTAGTTGTTGGTAGTAAAGAGAATGAGCTGTTAGTAGTTCCTCTGAATGGTGCCTTTGGTGTAATTTCATTGAGCATCTTGAAGTACATATTGCTTTTTGCTTGAACACTTCATTATGTGAATAAAGACAGTTTAAACGGTTTTTTAACTGCACATGCTCCGGGTGTTTAGAATCGGCAGTACACAGTCTCTTGCATGTCCGTTTCATGTGGCTTAATTCCTCCACGTAGAAATGAGAGGAGACCTCATTCTGCACCTTGACCCACAGCCTTTGCCGACCTTGTCTGATCACTCTCAGGATGATGAACTGGATCTTTCCCAGGAGCCAGGGGATGCGCCGTCAAAACAGGGGGATGTGCAGGACACAGAACCAGGTAGTAACAGAAATTTCTGAACTGGGTTCTTTTATGCTGATGTTCACTCGCGAGCACTGTTGTGAACCACCTATATGCGGCAGTGAAAGTTTTGTAGGGAACGGTTCTGTAGAGGTTAGATGAATGTTGATGCACAGCTTGCTTAAAAGCTAGAGCATAAATATTCAGCTTAGCTAATGAACCTTAAGACCTCGTTAGGTGGTGTGGGAAGGGCAGTGGAGCAGTCAGATCCAGGGGTAAGCGTATCAGTGAGAGAGGATGACCACTTGGGGGGGGGGGTGTATTTTACATCGTAGTAGAAATCTTGATCTTGATTGCATATCAGAATGATGCATTTGTAAATATATAGCCTAAAACTGATGACCCATCTGATGGCTAAATTTTGTAAGTCTCTAATCGTGTGTCAGTTTCCTCAGGTAGATAATTTGCTCTGGCAGATGACATGCCTCCGTGTCTGCAGGCACCTAACATGTTGCCTCTGGAGAGGAGAGAGGCTTAGCAGAAGCTGCTGTGGCAGGCAAATTCACGAGGCAGAAACCCCAAATGTTTATGGTTAAAATCATCATTCTGCCATTTGTCCAAAAAGCTCCCAAGGCATAATATGCTCCATATACTGTTTTAAATTTTTATTTTTACTGCTGAGCTTCATTTTAGATGAAATTCACGGATAAACTTAGGTGATGTATTTTATATGCCTTACATGTTTTCTTGTGGATTTTTCTTTTAGGCGTTGAAGTAGAAAAGGCACCGGAGACTCATTCAAAATTTGCTTTAAAAAAATTGCTAAGCAAGATCAGGAACCAGAAAGACCACTGGACAGCAAGACATGAGCTGGCAGCTCCAAGTGAGACAGACACCATTGAGTCAGGAACGATTTCTAGTAGAGAGAGAAGACTGTGTGAATCCGAACCAGAGGATGAACCAAACCGTGCGCCTGCGTCTGAAGCAGAGGGTACACTTTGTCCGATTTTTCCTACATTTGGTAGTTGAAGACATCATAATGACGTGCAGGATTCAAAGAACCATAAAACGAATCCTGTAAAACTTAACGGGGTTAGATCCACCCACTGACGGAAAACTCGTTTTGCCAGAGGAAAGCGTACCTGTTAGAGGAAAGTGTTTATAGAGGACGCATAAGGCTTTCTGGCGAGGGGGGTTGTTTTATCTAACAGGCTTATGATATGACATGGGGTGGGGGAAGACAGCTGTTAAAAATTCCATTTTCACCAGCATGGTGCAAGCCACTCGTGTGAGCCTAAGCAGCCTTCAGATGCCAGATCTGGATAGTGAACGTATTTGCTATGGCAGTGGTGGTATTAGAAAAATCAGTGTTATATGATCAAACCTGTGGGCACCAGGTAAGACAGACTGTAGTATTTGGCATCAGTGATTGCGTCCCAAGTTGTTGGTAAGGGCAGCTCTTCATAGGGCATGTTCAGTAGCTTACCTTCGAGGTTTCAGTAGCAAAGATCAGGACAGCTGAGTGGAGGAGGGGAGTATATTCCCCAGACATCATGTCACTTGGAAGAAGGCGCTCCCAGCGATGGCGCCAGCTTGCTTTCCTAGAAGAAAGTCTGGGTCAAGGAGTGCTCCTGAGCTTTTTACAGAGGCAGTAAAGGTAAAACTTCTCTCATCCAAGATTGAAAAGGGGATCCCATCTAGAACATTAGCCTTACTATCATCACTTCTGTCTTGTCTGTGTTTAGTTATAGCTTGTGTATTCCACAGCCGCTTCACCACTATTTTACACTTGTATCTTGCTTTTATTTGAAAGGATTCAGGGCAGAATATCTGAGGTTATAACATTTTCGTCCCACAGAGAGTGATTTATATCCTTCAGACAACAGGAGAGAGGTTCAGTCGTAGAAAGGGAAGTGATTCCTCCCTTCCCTGTAGAAACCTGTGCTGCTCCTGAGGATCTCTGTACAACATTTCAAGGGCTCAGGTGTGCTGAGGAAGGAGGGAGAAGCCAGGGGAAAGCCGTGGCCTGCTCTGTGCACAGATCTTGTAGGCTAAAAGCTAGTGATCAGTCTGGCTGAGCAAGGGTGTCAATCCGGGCCTCCCAAATCCAGCAGGCTAGCCAGTACATCACAGAGGCAGGGATGAGAATATCCCGGAACTGGACCTTTACAAACACACAGTTTTCCTTTCAACAAACGGTATATTGAGATCAGGAAATCAGCTAAATAATGTATTAATTGAAAGTGTCTCTGTCCCCCCCTCCCCCCTAAAACAAAACCCAACCGTGGGGGCTGTTAAAGTTGATGTCGAAGATAAAAACGTTCAGTGGGTTTCTCTTAACAAGAGCCATGGACAGAATTCATGCAAGATACCTGTTGCCTCGTTCTCCTTTTTCTCCATCAGGGCTCAGGGACCCCCATTCCTACCTGATCTGACAAAGGAAGTTTTTCCTCTCGAAAGCCTATACCCTGGAAATCTTGTTGGTCTTTTAAGGTGCTGTTGGACTTGAGTCTTGCTCTTTTACTGCAGCCCAACACAGCTGCCCATCTGAAACATTCTCCATTTTGAGATCCTTCGAATCCATTTTTCTTCTTCAGTATTCTAAACTTTTATTCATTTGCATGCTGCCTGGTGATTCAGCCTCAAATCAATTTATTGCAGACCGAAAATACTGCCTTACAATTGGTCAATAACGTAGGTGACATGATTGAATCTACTTTTTGTATATTAGAGGTGCCAGAAATGTTGGACCAAACTGTTGTTGCTGGAAATGCGGGTGTAAGTCGCTCACAAGAACAACCAACCAACACTGGAAAGGAAGCAGAAAGGCAAAAACAGGTATACTTATTTTTTCCCCTCCCAGTCTTTGCATTTTGCATAGTAGTAGCGATACCAGTAAGTAATGATACAGTAATTTTTGTCATACATGTTTATATCAAGTAAATCTTTACATCAGGTCTGAGACATTTGCCTTTATTTTAAGGCTAGAAATGTCAGCCTTGGCCACCATTTAAAAATTAGTTTGGCCCCACTGGTGGATCTCCTGATGGCACCTGGTATTTTTGGCCACTGTGTGACCGAGTGTTGGACTGGATGGGCCATTGGCCTGATCCAACATTGGCTTCTCTTATGTTCTTATGTAATTCATCTGTCTTCCTGATTTTGCCTCAACTTTCCATTTGAGCTGATTCTTCCTTGTTTTAGTCCCCGTCCCCCGTCCATGCGTGGCCTTTGGGTGGGCATACAAGGGGCTGCACTCAGCAGGGTGGAAGTTAACAAGCATGTCCAGCCTGGAGAATTCCTCTTGTCCTTATTGCGCCAAGTGTCCTTTTGGTCCAGATGGAGTGGCTGGAGCGCCAAAAACAAGAGCAGCTGGCCTTGCTTCAGCGAATCGAAGAGCAGAGGATTCAGCTGGAGGTTGATTTGCTGAGGGCCCAGATGCAGGACCTGGAGGGAGACGTTAAGAAAGAGCAGGAAAAGAGAGCACCACAGTCTCAGGCCATTCAGATGGATGACCGGGACGCTGCTCTGAACCAGCAGCAGGAAACAGAACTGAAGGTAAAAAAAAAAAACACCCAAAAACCAATTCTTGCTTTATGGGAAGACGGAGTTGATTCACCGTGCTGGAAGGGATGTGAAACTGCATTATCAGCCGCTCTACTGGGCTGGATTTTCTAATTTATTGGCTGAGTAGAGGCAGAGAATAATTCAAGTCAATGATCAGGGATTCTTCCTTATCTATTTATTACTCAGAGCAGCGATTTGTGCATGAATAGTTAAATTTGTGCATTCACAGTTAAACGACTTGGTGTTAAACAAAACAAAGAAAGTTGCTTGACTAATCTGTGCAGTGATCCATAATTCCTTTCTATGGGAAGATGCACAAAAGAGACCACTAATAATAATATCACAGAGAAACTCTAGAAATATTTCCAAATGCTGTCATGTGATTTTTTCTTTTCTTTTAGAAAGCTTTGCTCAAGAGCCTTTTTTTGTTTCCTGAGGGTTTCCCATACCAGGGTTCAGTGGCCATTGTTTTTACACTGGGAGCTACCCCAGTGGTTGGTCTAGCATCCTGTGCTCAACCATGGCCCATCAGATACCCCAGAGAAGCCCACAAGTCAGCAACTCTCCCCAGCTTGACTGAATGTGGCTATCAAAGGCATTCCACCTCTAAGAACATAAGAGACCCCATTCAGCTACCGTGTCTCCCAGCCAACAATAGGTCTTTCTAGCATAAATCTTTCCAACCCTTTTTAGAATTCATCTAAGCCAGCGGTCATAATCTTGTGCCATAATATATGAACTATGTATATAATTATATTAGTAATATCATAAATGAATCTAATTCTCAACATGATCCCTATCTGTGGATACTTAAATCCAGAAACTGGAGCCATGATCTTTCCGGAAACCTGAGAAAAGCCCCAAGTTTGCAGAAAAATTTGAACTCTTTTTTTTGGGGGGGAAGCAACCATTGGAGGGTTTGAACTCCCCTAAAATAATAAAAACAGTGCTGTATCTTTTTTTTTAAAAAAAACCCTCTGTGGTGGTTGCTAGGCAACCAAAGCAGTATTGCTAGAGTTCAGATTTTGGTTTCTGTCAGTAAAAGGCAGGGGGCAGGGCATTTTCCAGCTTTGGCCTTTGAGGGCAGACTCATCAGGGCCAGGCCAACTTCCATGCGGTTGCATGACTAACCCGGGCCCAGCTGCTTTCTACTGGTATAAGAGCCACCCCATGTAAGCAGGTTCGGTTTAGCGATTAGAGTTTCAGACTGGGCTCTGGGTGGCCCAGGTTCAGATCCCCACTTTGCCCTGGAAGCTTGCTGAGTAACCTTGGGGTCACTTACACATTCTCAGCCTAACTTACCTCACACAGTTATTGCAAGAATAAAATGGAGGAGAGGATAATGAGGTAGGCTGCTTTGGGTCCCCATTGTGGAGAGAAATGAGGTATAAATGAAGTTAAATAATAAATTTAGCAAAGATGGGGGGGGGGGAGAAGGTAAAAGGTAAGTTGGTTGGTGGACGGGAAGGAGAGGAGGGAGCAGGAAAAGATGAGGGTATGGGGGTTGCCCGGAAATAATGTAGAGAGGGGAATACAGGGGGAAATGAGGTATCTCCCCACAAGTCCTTGTGGGTTCCCCACTGTACAACTGGGCCTGTCCTGACGAATGGCACTGTGCAACGGTACCATGGTTTTCCTGGGCAGAGGCTCCTGGGCGAGGGAAGGAGGGAAAGCAGGGAGGCAGATAAAGGTAGGTTGGCTGGTGGGTGGGAAGGAGAGAAGAAAGCAGGGAA